ATACTTGAAATTTGCAGTTGGCAGATGCTCCCTACGTAACTTGAGCTTGATGGAGTGTATCCATATTTGGCAAAGAAAAACAGACATTAGGTCTAAAACAAATCAAATCTGGTAGGCATACATGTATATGCTGCTATTCAGTTTTCTATTTGTTAAAAAAAAGAACATCATTACAACTTACATATGGACAGATGGATCTATTTGTTCTTTATCTCTCCAGACAGGCTGTTCTGATAAAGTTAAATTATTCTAGTCTAGGGAATATTGTTTATAACAAACACGAAATGAAAACCGCTGTCAGGTAGATATTATTCTGTGTCATGTCAGAGTTTACCATCCAGTTAAAAATGAAAGAAACACAAAATCTTTATTTTTAGAGCTTGTGTGAGAGCCAAGTCTTTTCCAGGACTTCTTCAGCCTGGGAGACTGCAGAATGAGATGAAAGACAGCCAAGTCTTTCATCTCAAATACCAAAAAGTCAAACATAACCCATTTGTACAAGGCGCAGATAGTTTTGGTGTTGTTTAAGGTCTTCCTACACGCCATCACTGAATCATCAATAAGTTCCGGCTGAAATCACAGATCAGTGCAAGCAGGAAATCAAAAACACGATAGATCTCTGAGCGGAGGTGAAAGACCAAAAGCATAAAAGCTTAACACAGACAAAAGCTAAATGGGGGAAAAAAATAAGTAAAGCAACCTTGACAAAAATGGTGATGGGAGTAAAACATCATTAGTATTTTTTCAGCAGTGGGTGCAGCTAACACTGCACTTCTGTGAATATTAAAAGTGTTCATCATCAGCGATCTGCTGCCACAATAATCATACTGGAGCTACGAACACACTATCTACCACCACAATGATAATATGAGTAAACCAGATGGGAAGTAGGACCTCTTCAGCATGCAACAGAACATCAATAGAGAAGGAAAGCGTCAACATTTTATGCATCACCCCTCCAGTTCCTATGCAAACAGGTAAGCTAGGAGTACTAGAGTTTTGGGCCAAGTCAAAGTCCATTTCTCATCCTTTTGAAATACTGCCGAGCGACATGAAAGCATACAAAACCCTTAGGGTGTACTAACATTTTCCCTCAGCTAGCAAAGACTTATTTGTTGATGTAGACAGTTAATGTTTGTTGTTGAATTGCAAATAAATCACTTTATTATCCAGAGGGACTTTTTATCGGTTGGGCAGGCATTTTTATTTAGTTTCTTTTTAAATTACTGAATATTTGCCTTTAGGTCAAAAGTGGTTTTGGACCCAATGAGAGAGAACCAGACAAAGAGGAAACGCCTGTAGGAAACCAACACAATGAAGTCTGCCTAAAACTGCAGAGTCATCAGTGATTATGCTCATTTGAGTTTGGAGTATCCATTTAAAAACATATTTAATTTAACTTTTAATGCACAGAAATGTTATTGTAATCTGTTTTCTCACTTGCTAATGCAAATTCGCCACCAGTAAAGCCCACCGTAAATTAATGAGTGCCCCCTCGTACCAGCTCAGAATCACAGCAAATGTCCTTCCACAGATCCTCCCATCCATATTGACGCCCACATGTCACATATAGAAAAGTTGTCTCTCATCACCCATAATGTCATATTTCTCATGAGGAGGAGTGACAGTAGACGCACACAGTTCGGATTTTACTTTTTTTTTTATCCCGGGAGCATCAGAGAAACAACACAGACCCTCAGATGGCATACGCCGACAATGATGACACGACACACATGCTGACACATATGCCCAGCCTGCAGTACTGCGCGCCTTCCCTAAACGATGAAAAAGTGGGTCAAGGGCAATTTTTTTTTTTTTTTTTTACAAGTGCCAAGAGAAAAATAAGATTTGTAATGACTGACAGGCTTGAGCTGCAGAACAGAAAAGAGCCCGCAGAAAATAGAGCGACTAGATACATAATCCAAAGCAGGAGCAGAAATGTGAAAGTGAAGACATGATAGTTTGGAGGGGAAATTAATGAAGCAATATTTTTTGTCTTTGATGAAGGAACAAATGTTCTCAGAGAGACTCAAAGAGTCTAATCTGATTAAGTTCTCCAAGTCCAGATGTATTTTTAATTTGTTTCAAAATGCAATGATTCCATAGGGCTTCATTGCAACGCAGAGTTGTGCAAAACAATTTCGCAACAATAACTGTAAATGTTGAGCCACTTCCTATGACAAGCCTTGTGACTTCACATGTTTTGGGTTGCTATTCGCATTGTATTTAAATTATCAGTCAGAATGATCAGATGCATGTTAATTAACTGCTAAAAGCTTCAGCAGCCGAAAACGTTTGTTGTGGAAACGGAATCGCATCTCCACTGTATTTTTGTTCTGGCACAAAATCATCAGCATGTGATTATGCGCTGTCTTACAAACGTATTCACACCTTGTTAAATTATGAATTTCAAGCCACATCGAGATCTGATTACTGCCAGATAAGTAGGGTTAAAACAAAATAATAATCTTAAAAAACAAACGTCATGCTACAAATGCTACAAAATCCTTTCGAATGAAGCTTCCTATAAGAGCCATTTTACACAAAAAAGAGAAAACGTGGAACAATGATCTTTCCTAGGAGTGCGTAGCCTACCGAAATTGCTCTAAAAGCTCAGCAAAATTTCATGCAGGAGGTCACAAAAGAACATCAAATGCAGTGCAGGCACCACTCTCCTCGGTTAATGTGAGTGTTCATGATTCTGTAGACTGATGAGGCAAAAGTGGAACGTTTTAGAAGGTTCCTATTACATCTGGTATAAAATTACCACAGCATTTCATATGGAAAAGCTCTGGGATAGGTCACGCAACCTCGAAAAGAAAAATTGTGGGAATAAAGAGGGCCAAAATTCTTCTATAAGACTTCTAAAATACTTATTGCAAGTTACTGTAGTAATGGCAGTTGTGACAAAAAATAATGGTAGAACCAGTTATTAGGTGTGCGACAAATCTTTCCCCTTGATAAATAAAATCACAATTTGAAAACAACATTTTGTCTTTACTCACTTCATCTTTGTGCGATTTTCAAAACTTGTTTGATGGTATGAAACACCAAAGTGTGACAAAAAATAAAAAATAAACTCAGCAGCACTTCTAATAACACTTCAGAGACGTGAAGATGAGAATGAGGAAAGGTGGAGTGGTATTTCAGTTTAAGTGCGCTGAAGCTCCCACCTTTCAGCAGCAGCATAGGAAGCAGGAAACACAAAAGCAGAGGACGAGGGCGTGGGCAGTAAGAGGGGTTTGGATTTAGAGGTACTGATGGTCTTCATAAATACCAACTCATCAACCAAGATCCCCTTATTCAGCAGCATTTTCTGCACAGACTCTAATCAGGTCCGTGGAGCTCAGGCCCTCTTTTATGGAGGCCTCCTGTCTATTGTTTCATTAGAAGTGTTTGCTGAGCCGTGTGATCTAGGACAGGGCTTGAGAGAGGCGATTAATAACTCCGAGCATGAAGGAACCGTCTTCAGGGCCAACTTTAAAAACTGTGCCACTTTTAACACGGAGGGGAGGAGGCAGCAGCAGGAGCAGCAGCAACAAATAAGGACAGTCAGGTTGTTATTTAGTTGCTCTGTGCATTTGTGTTGTGATACAACACAAATGCATTGTGGTGTATTTATATCAGCAAGCAGGGTTCATAAAAAACTAGTCACTAGCCAGGTGTTGTATTTCTCGGGACAAAGTTAAGCCGGAGAAAAAGAATGTCCAAACTGCAAGTGAGGCTTTTAAATCTGTGAGGAAAAATGTACTTTGCTGAATAATTTGAGTCTCTTTATGGGAACCATTCCTAGGACAGTTATTTAGATCCAAATGCCATACATAATATTGTTGTTTTATGTATGGCACTCTAAACTCTAAACTAATTACAACATAATTTGATTTTCAGTTTTTCCAAGCTTTTGCACACAAGTTGGTCTCATATACTCCAGAGTAATTGACTGGGATTGAAAGTGACAGGCCAGCACAAAGCAGGGCATAATTGTCAAATGGAAAGAAGATTATACATTGTTTTGTATGGATCTGTATTCAGAATCCCATGAGACAATTCACTATAGAAGCACCAATTACGTCTTTTGGATATGTATCTATCAGCTTTGCTCATCTGGGGCGGAGATTGCTGCCCTTCCTTTTTTTTTTTTTTTGCATATGTTTGCACTTATTTTCAAGTCTTCCCACAGTTTTTCAGCTAGATTCAAGTCTGGACTTTAACTGGACACCACGCTGAGTGCTCCTGGATGTTAAAACCTCTGTCCTAGTCTCAAGTCTTTTGCTGCCTCCAACAGGTTTTCCTTCCAGGATTTTCACTTTGTTTAGCTCCATCTGTATTCCCATAAACTTTGACCAGCTTCCATGTTTCTGCATGATGCTGCCAAAAGGTTTGGATTTTTCTCATCAGACCATAGCACTTTTTTTTTCACATAATTGTGTTCTCTCCTCTCTTAAAGGCCAGATTTCTGGAGGGCAGACTTGTCTTACCTGAGCTGCAGATTTCTGCCACAATCTGGAAATCTTGGTGGCTATACTCTGATTAATTCACTCCTTCTCCAGCCTGTCAGTTCAGTCAGAGAGCCAAGTCTTGGAAGATTTGCAGTGGTGCTATACTCTTTCTATTTTCAGATGATGGATTGAACAGAGCTCTGCCAAGAGGCTCAGATATTGTTTTATAACCCAACCTCACTGAGCATTTTTCACAGCTTTCTTTTCACTTATTAAGTGACTTCTGAGGGCAACTGATTGCTTAGAGTTTCCAAATGAAGGAGGGCTGGTGCATCAAGCATCATGCTTGTTTGTAAAAAAAAACAAAAAAAAACAAGAAGTTTCAGACTTATACACTGCTTTGTCTGTTTGTCTATCGCATAAAATACAAAGAAAAAAACATTACATTTTGGGGGTTGTATGTGACAAAATGTGAGTATTTTTGATGGACACTCTATAAACTGAATTCAACCCTGTAAGCCTCTCTAGAAACTAAGACACAAAACAACATCTGACTCCCACCTTTATGAAAAATAGTCGTCCTGGGAGTGACGTCCAGGTCCAGGGATGGGCTGAAGGGAAATGCCCACAGCTGAGACAGCCTGTTGAGGAGCATCAGCATCAGCAGCAGGAGCAGGAAGGGCTGAATTGATTTCTGGTCCCCCATGTTTAACACACCGACCCGGGTCCAATGCAGCACTCAGTTTGTTGGATCCAAAAAATGCAAGTGTCTGCAAAGTGTGTATCTTCTTATTCCTGCCTCAGACACGCACTTTCATTATCCTCCAGTCAGTCCGTCTGTGCAGGGATAGAAAAGATGAATATGTATACTTAAACTGTGAATTCACGTAGCACCGTTAATTAGTTTTAGTGAGGTGGAACTATAGAGCATTTAGGAAATAAATTATAATTTATTGCTGAGCAAAGAGTTTGCCACCTGAGGAGAAATGCTGAGATGTATTCGCTTATAACCCCTAAACATGCTTATTTTTCAAGCGTCATTATTTAATTAAAATGTGGAATTTTAATTAAAACCTATAAAAACGAATCTTATAGAGCTGACACTTATTTTTAAATGTTGCCTTGTCTTGTTTTTTGTCAACTTTCTCAGTTAAAAAAAGTACACTTTAATCAACGCTGGCAATGAGTATGAATACATGACACAGTACAGAATCGACACTTTAAACCACCTTTCATTTCTTTGCATGTTGTTCCTAAGCAGCAGAGATTTTCCTGTGATCTTTTCAAGGTTTTTCCAAGTGTTTCATTCACTTTCAGTCCAGTCCTTGTACCTGACCATGAAAACATGTTATGTCATACATACTTAAAAAAAAGGACAATAGAGAAGTGGGTGATAAAAAGGAAGTGTCACAGTGTCTAGAGATTTACAAGTTTTAAATATTATTAATTTATATAAAGTAGCAGTAAGAAAGGTACACATTCATCAGGATTAATGTTTAATTTTTTGTGTGTCAAACTGTGCTATCTTTGGTATTTTTAATAAATTGAAATAAAGAAATATGCCTAAAGTTTCTCTTTCTGACTACAGCAACATCCCAATGGACACACCAAAAAAATGTTCTGTGTTTAATATTCTGTCATGTCTGGACACAACCCCAGTTTTATGCACAAAATAATTCATATTTTACTATCAAAGTGCTTCACAAACAATACATTTAAACATTCATCTGAAAATGGACAGATGCTGGACTGAAAATGGATGAAAAAGCAGGATAAAGCTCAGAACAACTTTCAAGCACTGCAAAAAAAAAACTGATCAAGATTTTAAAAGGTCACAGAAAAGCCTGACTCAATGAAACAAAAGAAGAACTTTTTTTTTTTTAAATGACTGAATACTTGTTCACAGTGTTGACTGCCATAAAAGCAAGCTGGAAGATGCTGAAAATATACCTCGCTGTAATCATGTACAGTATCTTGTGTGGTAAAGTCACAAGATACATGAAAAAAAATGAAAAAAAAATATTATGCATAAACATTCTTTCCTTAGTGACAGTACAAACTGCCAATTCCTTGCCGAGATGCATCATCATCCTGAGTACAGCCAATTATCCAAAAGTGCTGTTATTATTCAAAACCAGTCGATAACTAAATAATGCTCTCCTGGAAATGTGACGCTGCAAATGCTGCGAAACAAAACTTCCTCTTTTAATTAGCTGTGTTCGCGGTGGAGCAGCATGACGGCTAATCTGAAGATTAGGCCACGAGCCATCAGCAAAATCACCGCCTGGCTGGATGTTCTCTGCTTCTGATCAAAGGGTCAACCATGTGAATCTTGTTCTGCCCAGGAGTGACACTGGCGACTGCCCAGATCAGTCTATCATGGCCTTTGCCGTGTGCTGCTAATCGCACACAGCATGGAGTACAATGAGGCTTGTGACCTTTCTGTTAGCAGCCCGGGTGCTAAGCTCTGAGACTAACTGGGGCAATGACGGTCGACAGACGAGAAAGTGACGGGTTCTGATGAAAAGGATCAACGCGCCAAGGGTTTAACTAAACTCAGTGAGCTGTGACAAATTCAAGGAAAAATGTGTCTATGCAAAAGTGTTTTAGTCATGACATGTCTCCAGAGTAACTTCATTACACCTTGATCCTCAATCTCCAAATCGTATGAACTCTACTAAGTGCAAACAGCATCAGGGAAAGGTTTCCAAAAGGGGTCGCCAATGGTTGGTTTAAACACTGACACTTTCTGGGAAGACTACCTAAAATGTTGCACACTGTAAGAACCTGAATATTTCTGAAGGATACAGAATTTCTAACTTCTAGAAAACAGTCAGAGATCATTCCCTAAAGTTTTCCTGAGGGTTATTTTCAACTGAACTGTGCAAACGTTACTGAACATTCCCTAAAAGCACCACAGCAGAGTAAGCTTCAGGGAATGTTACCTAAATGTTTTCTGAAGGTTACAGATTGTCTCACTTTTAAAGAAACTTTAAGGGAACATTCTGTTCTAAAGTTTTTTGAAATCCTGTCTTAGCATTGACAAATCCAAAGTGTGGGAAATATTAAGGGAATATGTCTCAAAGTCTTCACAGATCACAGACTTTGTATCAAAATGTTCCCCTAAAGGTTCCCAAAAAAATGTGTTCAAAACTTGAAGCGCAAACATCTGGTAATTAGCAAAAAGTGTTCTATAAAGATTCCCTATACATTATTTATGACTTGTGCAATGCAAAACTTCAGAGAACCTTCACAAGACACAACAAAACTGAAGGGGAGATTTTTTCAAACTTACTACATCACGACACTGAAGACGGAAAGTTTTTAGCAGCAGAATATTTTTTCCAAGTAGAAGACTCTGGATAAATGGGAAATTGCTGTGCGATACGAGAAAAACGAGGAAACGTTTGGGAGGTATTTGCTCAATCTTAAAACAAAGTTTGTTGAACCCTTTGTTGGATAGAAAAACAATCCTAGTAAAACATCTATGCCACATCCATCAAACGAACATTGGTTCAACATCGGGTGAAGATTTCATAACGACCACGAGAAGACATTTGCTGAGGATTTTTCTTTCTTTTCATTTTTCCATCTAGAAGCTGCTAGATCTGACATTTCTGACATTTTCTATCTGCACAAGCTCATTTTCTATCTGCACAAGCTCATGTTTTCTAATTTTACACATCTTTGCATCTTAAAATGGCTACTTCATATTCAGCTGGGAATATTTTTTTATCTTTTATCTCCTTCATACACCTCCTTGTATGGCCAAAAGCTTTTTCACACATCTGCATTACGGCTCTTCAAGACCCGTAAACACACTTCGATATGTAAACGTCAGAGTTGCATCCCTTTGACATTGCATGCAAAATGAAACCAACGTGACTTTGGTTTGATGACAAGGCCAAACATCACACCACAGTCAGGGAAACCTGTGGTAACTAAACACTGACAGCAAGCTGTTTTCTTGAGGTTTTTCCCATCAGCTGCTCCAGCACACGACAAAGCACACCAATTTCTCAACACTTCTGCAAGGGTATTGTGTGTTCTGTTGGCAAAGCGCCTGACAGCAGTGTGTTGCATGATAACGCCACGAGGTAAAATGCAAACACATCTGCCTTGATGGAAATCACACAAACAATGTGACGCGTGTGGCGGCAGGAAAGAGTAATCAAACAAAAGCAGCGCAGGATGGCTCGAATGCATTTTACGCAGTTTCTTTCCTGTTTGCTAATTTGCGGAGCTGAACGAATCTACAGGGACACTTTGACCTAATTTCGGTGGTAGTTGGTCCCTGCCGCTTTATTTCCAGCAAATGCTCTAAAATAAATTGTCTTCAGAGCACGAGGAGTTGACAAGGCTTTGGTGAAACCTCACTTCAAACAGCCGCAGCAAGACGTTCTTCAGAACACCTGACGTTCCCGCCGGAGATCAACAAAACAAGGGAGCTTGTCTTGCAGAAATGAAAAGCTCACCTGCAGACTTTTTGTGCTTTTATTCAGTTATGTAGCGTGCAGTGTGGTAAATCCCACAAATGTGATTACTTGCACTGTGACAGCAGAAAAAGTGGGTGCACTCTGTGGGCCACCAGCACTGTATGAAAGATATAAACATAAAGAGTTTGCTTTGCAACAACTCGGTAACTAATAACACTATCAAAAAGTTGTTTTAGGAGTTATATTAAAAAAGTGCAATTTCTCAGAAAATTACAACATGTTCACAGTAAATGCATAGGATCAACTGAAAAGTATGTACATGCATTCAATACGTGGGGTCATTTTGCTTGAATTACTGCGTCAATGCAGCACATACGTCTGTGGTACTGCTAAAGTGTTAATGAAGCTCAGGCTGACTTAGTGTGTTTGTTAAATTGAAAAATCCACTTCCTCATGAATCCCTCTTGCGTCAACAATATTGTAATGAATTTTTTTTTTTTTTTTGGTTGTTATTGTTGGTTATTGTTAAAACTCTATTATTAGTATAAACATGTAACACTCTTTTGCTTACAGCAACTCTAACCAAATGTTTCGACACGAATCAGCACAAGTCAATCTCTTATATGGAAGGATTTTTACATTTACAAAAGTTGAAAAGTATAAACATCCTCCAGGTAAGAGTACAGAGTAGATTCGGAATTATTTGCTTTCATCTTCTACTTATTTGCAAATTAAATTAAGTAGAAAAACCCATCCTGCAATTTGGGGGGTAAAAAAATAAAACGTACAATAGCCTTCTCACGCTGCACACACTTCTCTCTTTGTGATGTCCCAAAAATAAATTTTATTTGAATAAAAATTATTCAAATTTATCTTTTACTTTCAAATCCCTTTAGATTACCATGCATCACTGTTATTAAGTACTTCTGCTTACTTCAGTAAGTTTTTTTTTTCTTTTTCATTTTGTCATGTTACAACCACACACTTCTGCATTGGGATTTCATGTGACTGAGCAACATCAACGATAACATAACTGTAAAGTGGAGAGGAATGAGAGGAAATAAATCTGAACTTTGATGTGCACATTTTAATCAGGGCCCCCTTGAGTTAGTATTAATTAACCACCGTTTGCTGCATTTTCAGCTGCAGGTCTTCTTAGGTATATATCAACCAGCTTTGCACATCTATGGGTTGAGATTTGTACATATTCTTCTTTGCAACATGACTCAGGTTTCACCAAATCTGATAAAGTGCGTACAGTTACATCAGTTCTAAAGTTTTCCCAAAGATTCCCAGTTGGCTTTAGGTCTACACTTTGACTGGGGTTTTCTTTTATATATATATATAT